GATGTGGTTGTTAGTGTTGCAAGAAAAACTGATGTTCACTGCTGCTGGAAGACCAACAGAGTATGTACTTTTTCATCTTTAATTATCTCGTTTTAGCCCCTGTATGAAATGGACTGCAAGTGTTTACTTAGAAACGCATTTAATGAAGACAAGTACTTGTGTCAGTGTCTGACTGGAAACAACTGTTTGACACGGCTATCTCAATCCCATGAAATTAGAATATTTATTGACAAGGAAAATAGTGTTGGATGGCAAGTAACTAGATTGATTTTTTTGATCGAAAGCATGAAATGTTTCTAGTATTGGATTGCAGTGGAAGCATGACAATGCTAGAAATGTGTAAGATCTTATTTACTCTCTCTCTCTCTCTCTCTCTCTCTCTATGTGGATGATATATTACGTTGTACTAGGAGCCATTTTTTTGGTGTAATAGTCGATGCTCGAGTTGTTAGCGAGAGAGTGTAGTTTTGTGATGTAGCTTAGTTATTAGGATTTACTTAGGTTTCATTTTATTTTATTTGTTTTTTTCGTTAGTTATTTTTGCTTAAATTATGTTGCTTTTTATATAACCTATACTGTGGGGGTTGTCTTTTAACTTTTACTAAAATAGTTGCACGCAAGGTGCATAACAACTAAAGTGAGTTTGAGCTTTTGATTAATTCTGATTGTATAGTATGCAGTTCAACCGCCATTTGTTTACTGAAGTAATTGTGTTCACGAATTATTTAAATCTGGATCTCTGCATTTATATTTAGTTGGTGATACATGTCTTTGTCATCAATAGATACACTTTATTTATTTATCAAAAAAAAAAAAATAGATACACTTTATTGAAATAAATGAACATATTTGTATTTTGTACCCATTCTTACTTTTAATGTATAAAGATTGAATCTTTGAAAGAAAATGAAAGTTTTGAGTAGCCCCTCAAGTCATATGTTTTAAATTATGAAATAATGAAACAATTTTAAGACCAATTAGTTGATCAAGGCTCGTCGGGCCTTTTGGATAAACTGTTGATCAGTGGTTGAACTCTAATTAAATTAACCGCATGTTTCTCTTCTACTTTTTTATCGATGGAGACTTTAATCGAACTGCTCTAGAGTTACATTGATCAATTGAGATTTCGATCAACACACTGTAGATGCACTTTATTTATTTATAAAAAAAGGGTAAATTACATTCACACCCCCTGAGGTTTGGCTCAATGCCACTCAACGGAGGGTCAACGCACTAGTTTGCACTCACGCTCCCTGAGGTTTCAAAAGTCATATTTACCCCTGAACTTGTTAATTGACAAAAATAACCCTAATCAATATTTTGTATTCCCATCACCCACCACCACCACACCCATACACCGCTACAACCTACGCACACCGCCGCAACCGCCGCACACTACAATCGTCGCACACTGCCACATCAAACACAACACGCAACACACCCACCGCCACAACCACAACACCCGCCGCCACACACACTGCATTTGGGTCAAACCCACACACCCCACCACAACCACCGCCATACCCACACACCCATACACTGCTCGAGCAAGTTGTTGGACCACAGAGCCTGATCTTAACCCTACCCACGCGAAATTACCGGCGGTGAAGAGAAGATCTGTGTTCGCCACTGCAATTGTCGAAACAGTTGGCATCACCGAGCAAATCTTTGCTCGCCACTGCAATCATCAATCATGCCTCTAATTCGTAGAGGGCTTTTGCCTCTAATTCGCAAGCGGTGGTTCTAATTGTTGGTGGTGATGGCGGTGGTGGGTTTCTTTGATTTGCAAGCGGTGGTGGCTTTTGCTTCTGATCTCGTCGCTTCTGATCGACGACAGTGGTGGTTGTTGCTTTTGATTGTTGGTGGTGGCGGCAGTGGTATCGTGGGTTTCTCATGAAGGGGGCGGCGATGGTGGGTGGTGGTGTTAGGACAGAGAGGGTATGAGAGGATGGAGATAGAGACAAAAGGTATATGTTGTGGGTATTGGGAAATGGAGGAAGCTTGTGTTTTTTTGGATATGTTGTATAGTCAGAAGGATATTGGCAGAGGGTGTGATGATATTTTGTGGGTTCCTTTAGCTCATGGTCGATTTGGTGTTCGCTCTATGTTCTTTTGTTTGTCCAATTTCGTTGATCCTGAGTTCCCTTGGAAGTTTGTCTGGCGCTGTAAAGCTTCTCTTCGAATCGCATTCTTTGTTTGGACTGCCACATTGGGGAAGATTTTGACTTTGGACAATTTGAGAAAGAGAGGCAACATTATTGTTAATTGGTGTTGTTTATGTAAAACTGATAGTGAATCCGTGGACCACATTCTTTTGCATTGTCCTGTGGCGTTTGATTGTTGGAGTTTTATTTTTAGTTTGTTTGGCCTTTTTTGGGTAATGCCTAAGCACTCCGCTCAATTGATTAACGCTTGGAAAAGGTGTCCTGTCAAAGAACAAGCTCGGGATTATTGGAAGATTGTTCCACATTGTGTCTGGTGGTGCTTGTGGCGTGAGAGGAATAATAGATCCTTTGAAGGAAAAGAATAGTCTTTAACTACTTTAAAAATTCATATTCTTCGTTCTTTATTCTTTTATGTAAAAGGAAGTGCATGTTCCTCGATTGATGATTTCTTTGATCTCTTGGATTCCATTGGTCCTTAGACCTTTTTTCTTGTATTAGGGACATGTTCCCCTTTGGAACGTTTTTCTAATATATTATTACTTATAAAAAATAAAGTATGTAGGGCTGCAAACGAGCCGAGCCGTTCGCGAACGGCTTGGGCTTGGCTCGTTAATTACTTGGCTCGTAAATAAGTGAACCAAGCTCGAGCCAAATTATGAGGCTCGATTTATAAACGAGCCGAGTCTGAATATCAGTATACTCGACTCGTTTGTTCATGAATCATTCACGAACTGAGCTCGATAATGTGTTCACAAACATTCTCGATTATATATATATATATATATATATATATATATATATATATATACATACCCAATTATAATATATACAAAAGTTGGGGTCAGATTATAATTGTATGTAACACATTTATATGTAGATATATATTTATGTTGGGGTCATATTGTAATTATATATAGAGTTTGTGGTTATTATGCAAATAGGCCTTTCTTGCCTTTGTATATAAACCCTTTTAATCTTTTATGTTTAGGGTTGCCTTTGCCTTTCTTGTGCCTCCTGCCTCCATCTATTTTCTCTCTCCAAAAAAAGTCTCCAAAGCGACGCCACCCCAAATCATAGCACAGAGACGGCCATTGCCGATGGGAATAGCATCGGTCTAGTGCTTGTATGGTTCATTGAACCTAACCTTGAGAGGCTTCGAAGGCTCTGCGTCTACGGAGGAGCTTGGTTCCAGTAGTCTTTTTATTATTATTATTAATTTTTTATTTTTTGTTCTAGAATCCAGATCTGTTAGAACTTAGATCTATTTCTCTCTCAAAATTTTATTTTTATTTTTTGTTCCAGAATCCAGATCTATTAGAATTAGATCTATTTCTATCAAATTTTTTATTTTATTTTTTGTTCTAAAATCCAAATATGTTAGAACTTAGGTAACAAAAAATAAATAAATAAATAAACGAGCTATCGAGCTCTCGACTCGAAACTCGTCAAACATAGCCAAGCCGAGCTTGAACTAAATTTTCTAGGCTCAACTCGAGCTCGAGCCGAGCTTGAATAACCTATTACCTGACCGAGCCAAGCTCGAGCACACCGTTACTCGGCTTGGCTCGGCTCATTTACAGCCATAGGTGTATGTAAGAGACAGAGAGAGAGGGTATGGTGGGTTAGAGAGAGAATGTAAAATAAAGGGTATTTTGGTCCTTTAAATTTTAGTTTACAGGGTTATATTAGTAATTTACCCTTTATGTATTTGTTGACCAAGTCAAAGGTTAAAATTAGGGCTGCAAATGAACCGAGCTGTTCACGGGCTCGGCTCGTTAAAAGCTCGGCTTGGGCTCGTTCTTGAGTTAAATGAACCGAGCTTGAGCTCGATTTTCAAACTCGTTTAGTAAACGAGCCGAGCTTGAACACTACTAGGCTCGGCTCGGTAAGCTCGTGAACAACCTCGTTTAGCAAAATGTTTTATTTAATTTATAGTCGGCCCAAATAAATGATACCCAATAGTGTTTATTGCTAAGCCCATATCAAAATGTCAAGCCCATACAATAAATAAATAAACTCTTTTGCTTACAAGTCCAACTTATAAGCCCACATTGAATTAGAAAACCCTAAATCTCTCCACACAAAAGCCCCACCTGTCAGCCCTATTCTTATCTCAACATCATATTTGTGCGGCAAGACTTCATCCCCATCAATCGTCTCTTTTCGAAGTTCCCCATCTCTCTTCTTTCATCTCTCTTCTTCCGCTGTAGTTGATGCACGCTACAAATTCAGCCCTGTGATTTGTGAGAAGATGGAGTACGATCGAGATAGAGACCGAAGAACCTCTAAGAAGGCACATATATATAATATATACATATTTACAATTATATATACATGGATTTTGTTTATACATACACATGAATATGTGTTTATATATATGAATCAGAGATTTGATCCATGGTTCCAACTTTTACGAATATCTTGATACAAGAAGAGATTGTATGAGTTTTGGCAAAGTGAGCCCAAGCTTGGCAAAATATTCACGAGCCGAGCCCGAGCTCGGTCTAGTCAAGCTCGTCCGAGCCGAGCCCAAGCCCGAGCACTCCCCTGATTTTGACGAGCCGAGCCCGAGCATACCAAAGCTCGGCTCGGCTCATTTGCAGCCCTAGTTAAAATGGTCATTTTCTCGGGTGGAGGGGGTGTTTATGTATATGTTTGAAACCTCAGGGGTGTCAATGTAAATTAGTGCGTTGACCGTCCGCGAAGTGGCGTTGACCCAAACCTCAGAGGGTGTGAGTGCAATTTATCCTTAAAAAAATAGATATACTTTATTCCATGATATGAACATATTTGTATTTTGTACCCGTTCTTACTTTTTTAGGTAGCCGCAAGAACTTTCATGTATGAACAGAACACTTTTACTACCTTTATTGTAAATTCTATTATACTTGTATTATCTATCATACATTCATACCATCTAATTATATTGCATAATCTATACTCTGGTATACACATATCAAAGCTTACAAGTAGGCTTATTTGCATGGAAGATCAGTAAATCACCAGCTGAAGCTGATGGACTCGAAATGCAGGTTACTTGCCAAACCAGATGAACAGATGGCTGCAACCTCATGCCTCATTGTTTTGGGGCCACAAACAAGAACTCCAACACTCGGGCTTTTGCATTCAAACAAAGTTCCTACAAAAGTAACAATGTCGAGGTTAATATCACAGCATTGTATTTGTATCATATCCACCAGTGCATGTGACAAGATGCAGAAGATTTACTTACTCTTCAGGTTAGGTCTTTCACCATAATGCACGTTGGTAGACTGGACAAGAGACTGGCGAGGGAGGCTTTCTAGTTCTTTATCTACATTGTAGGATCCAGACTCTGATGAGACTACCGGCGTCGACCCTTCCATATTCTGTATCTGCTTTGCTTCCATGGCAAGTTGTTTCTTGTTCCAAAGGAAAGCTGCACTGGCTGTCATGGCTATGCTAATGCATATGAGCAACATATTCCAAACAGCTCTTGCAGAGTATGAGTAGATTTTGTCGGTATTATGATCAATAGTATATATGTAGTAACGGATGAGAATGCCTACGAAGATGAGGAATATGATGAAAGAAGATGATATTATTGCGCCAAGCCAAAGCCAGCTGTTTCGGCCTAAAATGGGAGATAAAGGCACGTCTGATGCATTCGAGTCGAACCATATGGGTCGGAGGAGCTTTCGGTTTTCTGTTGTGGGTTCTCTCTCTCTTGTGACATATGCCTCAATTTGCAGCTGTAAGTTGGGAAATTCAGTTGGAATGCCTGAGAGTGGGAGGATGAGGTCTAGCATTGTTAGATCTGAAGAGTGCCTGAAGGCACTAATGATAAGAACCGTTGGAGTACTGCATTTCAATGTTGTGCTCATAAAGATGAGCTCCCTGATGATAGAGATTAAAGGGGCAATGCCACTGCCTCCACTCACCATAACAAGTGTGTCATGCCTGCAAGTATATATGTACCGATTAATCAATATTACACCAAATGGTACGTTATCATAGAGAGAACTCGTATGCATGTGATTGATTATACATAATGTGCATGCCTTAGAAAATGAGTTGAAACAGGTCCATAAGGTCCTTCAATGGAGACATTAAGACGGGTAACTGGAGATGGCACCGAAAGCATCTGATAAAGCTTCTTTGACCAACCTCCTTCATTCTTGATGATGACGCTGATCTTGTCCGGCTCCAAATTACTGTTAGAACTGATGGTAAAAGGATGCCACTGAAGTTTGGAAATGGTGGGCACATTCATGAATAAGATGCTTGTTGGAGTGTAACTCAGACCTGAAGGAATAAAATTATATCAACAAAAAAGGGACAAATACATATTTATTAAGATAGTCAGCATTGGTATAGGATTTTAGCTTCACCTGGGCTCTTAGAGAAGTTGAGCTCAACAGTTTCACATGGAAGAATGCGGGCAGAAACTAATCGGACACGTTGTCGTGACTGTAGGAACCTCAAGTATCGATCGATCAAGAAGAGGTAGAAACCAGGAAGCATAATGCAGGCGTAGGAGAAGCCTAGATGGAATATGAAGAAGATGATGAAGAGGGTGTAGAGGTAATGGGTGTAAAAGAAGAGCTCAAAGAACTTTCGCCGAATACTAGGGTAGGTTGTCACCCACAATACTAATCCAAACAGCAAAGACAGCTCTCCTGCTACGTTTGATACATTAGTGTTGTACCATTTTAGCACCTGCAACATGTGGATCGACGCAATAATATTAGAGGTTTTCCATGAAGTGAGAGGCTGCATTTGGGTTCACTAACGTGTTTTCCACCGTTTAAATCATCTTCATTATTTATTTATATTATTTTTTTCAAAAATGATTTGAGTTTATTTATTTTTAATCGGTACTTATTAGCCATCTTATATTTTTGTTATGAGAAAAGAGTGGGATAGAATCCAGAGCTGGTTTTTGAAATTGGGCATTTTTTTTAATTCAATTCTTAATATATATATATTAAGAATTGAATATATTAAGAATTGAATTAAAAAAAATGCCCAATTTCAAAAACCAGCTCTGGATTCTATATATATATATGTGCGAAATGAAAAAAATAAACAAAACCGAGGTAGCCTAAAGCTTCTTTATCAGACCACTATTTCCTTCAAACCAAAAGGAAGACGAAAAGAAGAAACATTTTTGATTTAGAATTATATGATTCCGATAAATCAAAGCATATTATCTTATTAAAAAGTTTAGTATATATATATATGAATTCGTAAACTATGTGCCATAGTGCGCAACACTCTTCAATTTCTATCTCGTGTGTTCACATTCGGCCTAACCAAAATCATTGGTGGGATCACATAATTTGTTCATGGCCTGATCCAAGACCTTTGAACCATGTTCCGACCCATTTCCATGGTATACCTACTTTGATTTTGAAATGGAAGACAAAGTTGGACCATTCTCGTGAGGCTTGTGGAATTTGTTAGCCACAAACAATTCAATTCCAAAAGTAATGGAATATAGTCAAAAGTTTTAGTGTCTGTCATCACGAGAGGGGACGTTAACACAACAACCTGGGCCCCACCAATCTGTTGGCAAGTGCTTTGTAAAGTCATTTGTTTGTAAGTTGGTTCAAACCTGCACTGATAGGATAGAAGAAAACAAGCTGTATTTTAAATTAAACCAAAATACTAATCTGTTATGAGTTTTGATTAGACTAGGTGGCTGAAGTGATGGTGCATGCATGACAGGAGGTAAGAGTGGGCTTGAACTAATTCATTCTTGGGATTCCCAAACAGTCCCTAATACCAAATCACAACCATCAAATTTATAGCTCAAAATGATACCCAACATATGCATGATTCAAAGGGTTGAATAGGCACAAGAAGAAGAAGGATTTTCCCATTTTTCGATACCTTTTTCCATATCAAACAACAAACTAACATCCAGTCCAAATTTGGTGGCCGCAGAATATGACTAGGAGGACCACTTTAATGGGGATAATCTGCAACCACACTCGATCTGTTTGTTGTTTACTTTTTTCATGATTGTTTCAATTCGGTATTGTATTGGTACAAGTAAGTTGAACGAACACTCCAAACAATCCTAATCACATAATTGTTTAACTGTAATTAAGAGCATTAAGTAAGATATGTTAATTACCTCCGATAATCGATGTGTGACAGACCAGTAAACAATGTAGAGGACACCATGAGCAGTAAAGAGTGCCATGGCAATGTGTCCAAGCCATATATGGTACTTGATGCTGCCCTCTGAAGTGAGTCCAAACAGAGGCAACACCGACGATCCGCGAGTCACAGGGAAGAAGAGAAATGCAAGACATACATTCCCAACAATGCCCAGATTCAGAGCTACTCTTTCCAACTTAGCTTCCCATCTGTCAAAAACCAATCTCAATTTTGTATATACAACATATACCTATACAAACAATCTATATCATACGGTATGTATATATATATATACGACATGTTACACTTAAATTCTATATGTATATTGCTATTCCTTAAAGTAAGTTCTTACAATTTATCGCCCTTTGAGAAATTTGGATCTCCAATATCAGCAAAGAAGAATTGCAAAAATTTAGAAAAAATCCAAAGCAAGAGTGCAATGAACATGATAAACAAGGCCAGCTCTATCCAAGAAACAATTCCTAGGCCTTTGATGATCACCGGCCTCTTCCCCAATCGATGTCTTAAGTTGTTGCTGTAAAATAGGAACCATATATAAAAAGAAACCAAAGTTTAAGTATACACAAATACATACATACATACATATATATATATATATATGTATGTATCTCACAAACAAATCATATATTGTTAATAATGAAGTACCTTTTGATGGTATTGTCATGATTAGTTTTCTTTCCCATATGGAGGTACATACAGCCCAAAACAGCCATGAATAGGATGGGAAATGTGTAAACAAGAATATTGTAACCTGTTGCATGCACAATAAACACAGTAAAATTTAGTTCCTCCATATGAAGAAGCTAGCTACCAAAACCCTGAGAAAAGGAAGTGTAGTAGTAGTGTTAGAGAATATATATATATATATATATATATATATATATATATGAAATAAATATGAATTAATTTGAACCTTGTGAATTTAGGGGAAAAAAAAAATTTGAACCTTGTGATCCAAAGTAAGTAGAATTGGAGTTTGCTAGAATTTTGGTTGACCATGTCTCCAAGTATGTATGGGTTGGCAACATCACCCAAAGAAAAAGATAAGCAATAAAGATGAGCATTATAAGTGCCATTATAGCTGCACCAATTGCTTTGATTTTGGTTCCTCCATGAGTAGGAGCTGATCTCTTTTCCTCCTCCATTGAAACTCTCTCTTTCTCTCTCTGGTTCTCTCTCTCTCTAAAATGGGCAAATTGTATACTACTGTATACTAATATCAGTTCCTTGACTTGTGAGATTACGTGTCAATTCTCTGTTGGGCATGAGCAAGTTGACAAGATTCATGGCACATCATCATTGTAACTCTATCTGATATCTCTTTTCATTCAAAGCAGATTAAGACTATTATTATTTTATATATATATATATATATATATATATACTCATCAACTTTCGACTTTAGAAAGTATCACTAAATTTGGGTTGTTGGGTGATTCTCTCTCATTTACCTTTATAAAGCATCCTAAATTTGAAAAGTGACCAATAAACTTGGCGCTTGTAGGCATTAAACTTGTCATACACAAATGAAAGAATTAAATATGAAGTCAAAAACTCCTTATTGTCATTTTGTAGTTTAAAAATTAGTGGTCGTATTCATATGAAGTTTTTATATTGATGTCATCGTCCCTTTGTGGTTGACTAAAACGCCTTCAGTAGTAACAGGATGAGAAATATATATATATATATATATATATATATATATATAGACACAAATTTCGGGGATTCTTTTTTAAAATTAAACCCATATGACACTATTTTGTTCTAACCAAATTAGTGAGAACCATTCAACAGGAGTACTTATGTCATTTAGCTTAAGAAAATAACAAGAAATATTTATTAAAAAAAAAAAGACAAAAAAATAAAGAGGAGCGTGAATATCATCTTGCATTCTATTTGCTTTTGCATACGGCTATACAAAATGCAGCAATTTTACTCATTATGTATAATTTTGCACTTTTTTACAATCGCTTATATCTTTTAGGCCTACCTTTGTTTTTCCCAGAAAAATCACATATACGCTACTTTTGTTATATACGCGTGTGTGTGAGTGGGGTCCACTCATATTTATCCCAAATATTAGCTTACAAGAGAAGATCATTACTTAGCTTACAAAGAAAGCTCGTTATCTAACTTACATAAAAAGCTCATTACTTAACTTACAAAAGAAGCTCGATATCTAGTTTACAAGAAAAGCTCCTTACTTAATCTACAGAAGAAGTCCATTATTGTGTGTATATATATATATATATATATATATATATATATATATATATATCTTGTGAGCTTGTATTTGAGAAATATACTTGACACGAGTGAATAAAAGAAAACTTTTCACTTTAGTATTTTCTCTCTCATTGTTTGGTATATATCAATAACAACTTTTGTGATTAAAGTATAAGGAGAGGTAAATTATTGCAGTATATATATATATATATATATATCTTGTGAGCTTGTATTTGAGAAATATACTTGACACGAGTGAATAAAAGAAAACTTTTCACTTTAGTATTTTCTCTCTCATTGTTTGGTATATATCAATAACAACTTTTGTGATTAAAGTATAAGGAGAGGTAAATTATTGCAGTCCAGCTCTCTGTATCTCAGTTGGGCCCTGCCCAAGTAAAGTTGGACTCAGATTTTACAATTGTGAACTTGGATATCAAAGTCCAATGTACCGGAGAGGATGGAGATTACTGATCTTACCATCTGTCAAGAGCCGACTCATAACTCCGCAAAGGGTCCCATGTCTCTCAGCTTTCCTCTAGAGAGGAACTCCTCCCAGTGTCCGCAATCCAAGTTTACTCATATTTAAATAAACTCCTCCAGAAAATAGGTTTATGAGTAAAGAGGAAGGAACTCCTCATAATTATTAGCCGACTATGAGACTTACCCGTACTTAGTTGTTTAGCACCCTCTGAAGGGCGTAGGTGCAGGGGGACCCATGGACAGACAAAAAAAAAAAAAAAAAATTTGTTGAGATTGGACACCATTAAAAAATAATAAGATAAAAAGATTTTATAGATTTTTTTTTTAAATAAAATAATAAATATAGAAAATTATATTTTTATTGATATATATATATATATATATTTTTAAATTCTTTTCATAATTTGGGTAACTCTCCTTTTTTAGGTAGGAAGAGCGTTTGTAAATGTTGTGTATCTAGATGTTTTTTTTGTTTTATCTTCAGTTTGTTTTGACGTAAAATATTTTCTTCAAAAAGTATATATATATTTTTAAGTAAAATATATATTTTTTATTCTTATTTTTTTAGCGTTTGACAAAAGTCTTGGTCGAGTCGATGAGGTGGAACGTGTAAAATATTTTGAATAAGTTATTTTTGTTGAGTTTTAATAATTTTTTTCTTCTATATTTACGACAACCAAATACAAAAAAATACAAAAAATATTTATTTTACACTCAAACAAACGTTAAACTTGTAACAGAGGCTAGAGAGTCGAGCAGGATGATATATTATCAATTGTCATCAATAGAGCCTGATGATATATTTGTCAACTGTCATCAATAGATACATTTTATTCAATGATATAAACACATTTGTATTATCATCCATAGATACAATTTATTCAATGATATGAACATATTTGTCCCAGTTCTTGCTTTTTGTTTCTTTTAGGGTAGTCCCTAGAACTTTCATGTATGAACAGATCGAACACTTTTATTACCTCTATTGTAAATTCTCATTTTGAACCAGAATATATTATATATGATTGTATTATCTATCATACTATCTGATTATATTGCATAATCTATACACTGTTATACATACTTATTTGCATGGAAGATGAGTAAATCACCAGCTGAAGCTGATGGACTCGAAATGCAGGTTAGCTGCCAAACCAGATGAGCAGATGGCTGCAACCTCATGCCTCATTGTTTTGGGGCCACAGACAAGAACACCAACACTCGGGCTTTTGCATTCAAACAAAGTTCCTACAAAAGTACCAATGTCGAGATTAATAACACAGCTAGCATTGTATTTCATATCATATCCACCAGTGTATGTGACAAGAAGAAGATCGAGTTACTTACTCTTCAGGTTAGGTCTTTCACCATAATGCACCTTGGTAGATTGGACAAGAGACTGGTGAGGGACGCTTTCTAGTTCTTTATCTGCATTGTAGAATCCAGACTCCGATGAGACTAATGGTGTCGATCCTTCCATGCTCTGAATCTGCTTTGCTTCCATGGCAAGTTGTTTCTTGTTCCAAAGGAAAGCTGCGCTAGCAGTCATGGCTATGCAAATACATATGAGCAACAAATTCCAAGCAGCTCTTGCAGAGTGTGAGTAGATTTTATTGGTATTATGATCAATTGGATAAATGTAGTATCGAGTGAGAATGCCTACGAATATGAGGAATATGATGAAAGAAGATGATATGATTGCGCCAAGCCAAAGCCAGCTGTTTCGGCCTAAAATGGGAGATAAAGGCACATCTGATGCATTCGAGTCGAACCATATGGGTCGGAGGAGCTTTCGGTTTTCTGTTGTGGGTTCTTTCTCTCTTGTGACATATGCCTCAATTTGCAGCTCTAAGTTGGGAAATTCAGTTGGAATGCCTGAGAGTGGGAGGATGAGGTCTAGCATTGCTAGATCTGAAGAGTGTCTGAAGGCACTGATGAGAAGAACCTTTGGAGTATTGCATTTCAATGTTGTGCTCATAAAGATGAGCTCCCTGATGATAGAGATTAAAGGGGCAATGCCACTGCCTCCACTCACCATAACAAGTGTGTCATGCCTGCAAGTATATATGTACCGATCGATTAATCAATATTACACCAAATGGTACGTTATCATAGAGAGAACTCATATGCATATGATTGATTATACATATTGTGCATGCCTTAGAAAATGAGTTGAAATGGGTCCATAAGGTCCTTCAATGGAGACATTAAGACGGCTGACAGGAGATGGCGCCGAAAGCATCTGATAAAGCTTCTTTGACCAACTTCCTTCATTCTTGATGATGACGCTGATCTTGTCCGGCTCCAAATTACTGTTAGAACTGATGGTAAAAGGATGCCACTGAAGTTTGGAAATGCTGGGCACATTCATGAATAAGATGCTTGTTGGGGTGTAACTCAAACCTAGAGGAACAAAAGTTGTATCAACAAAAAAGGGACATAAATACATATTTATTAAGATAGTAGTCAGCATTGATATATGATTTTAGCTTCACCTGGGCTCTTAGAGAAGTTAAGCTCAACAGTTTCACATGGTAGAATGCGAGCTGAAAGTAGTCGGACACATTGTCGTGATTGTAAGAACCTCAAGTATCGATCGATCAAGAAGAGGTAGAAGCCAGGAAGCATCATGCCGGAATAGGAGATGCCAAGATGGAATACGAAGAAGATTATGAAGAGGATGTAGAGGTAATGGGTGTAAAAGAAGAGCTCGAAAAACTTTCGCCGAATACTAGGGTAGGTTGTCACCCACAAAACTAATCCAAACAGCAAAGACAACTCCCCAGCCACGTTTGATACATGATTGTTGCTCCATTTTAGCACCTGCAACATGCATCGATACAATAATGTTAGAGGCTTTTTTTTTTGGAGTTAAAACTGTTAAGAGTTTATTTGTTTTTAATTGGTATTACTACTTATATTTCTGTTAAGAAAAAAGAGTGGATGGAAGGATGGAGAGAGTTTTCCATTTATTTCCTACATTAGTAAGAAGGGTTTATTTGTTCAGTTATTTGAATGGTTTGCTTTGGTTTGTTTTGTTGGGTTATCCTAAAACGTTGTCTTTGCGTTTATTTATTTGTAGTTCTTGTTCCACATTAGATCTAGACATGGGGTAAGGTCTCGGGCCCATAAGGGTGAGTAGGAAGTACCACCTAACAGAAATACTGTATAAATCAGCAGACTCTGTACTATATTGTGCTACGCCATAAATCTGTGTTCACATTTGGGACCAAAATCATTGGTGGGATCATATATATACTGTTTCTGCGTGGACTCCATGTGCACTAATGGATAAGAGTCCATGAACTTACGAATCGTGTTCGACCCGTTTGATTGACAATGCCAACTAAAAGACACTCTTTGGTGGACCATTGCGAATGCTTTGATTTTGAAATGGAAAACAAAGTTAGACCATTCTCGTGAGCCTCGACGAATTTGTTAGCCACAAACAATTCAATTCCAAAAGTAATGGAGTATACCCATGACTTTTAGTGTCACGTGATACTCACACAACAAATTGGGTCCCACCAATCTGTTGGCCTTTCTTTTGTAAAATCATTTGTTTGTAATTAGTTAGTTCAAACCTGGACTGATTTCCAAACAGTCCTTAATTTAAAAAAATCACAACCAGAGGGATCATAACAGTCAAACAGTCCCTAATTTTGCATGATAGGAAGGTTTGAAAAGGCAGAGTAACAATAAGGATTTTCCCATCTTTTGATACCTTTTTTCCATACCAAACAACAAACTAACGTCCAAATGGGGTAGCCAGCCACAAAAGATGACTAAAGTGTCAAACCATTAGGAGGACCACTTTAATAGGATGATCCACAACCATTCATCCCATATACTATTTGCATGATTTTTTCGATGAAGTATTGTATTGGTACAAGTAATTTGCACAGTCAAAACAATCAAAAATCATCCTGAGGCCAACTTGGGTCCACCAAACAAGGATCATATATTTAAGACTGTAAATGAATCGAATTGGTACATTGTATCTATATCAAAAATTACTCAGTGCCTAAATTAGGGTGTGTCGAGCTAATGTTTAGGACACAAAGTAGGTGGCTAGTGGATGATTTTGATACACAAAGATAAATTTTATCCCAAAACATCTTTCGCTATCAATGCAGCAATACTTAGACCCATGACGTGAGTAAAGAACACAATTATATAACTGGGCATTAGCATATATGATATAATCTTTTTTGGGAAGCTTGAGTATTCGAGCTTGTTGAGGACAATATCATGAGTGTGTGCTTTTGTTTAAGAAAAAAAAAAAAATTGCTAATTACCTTGGATAATTGATGCGTGGCAGCCCAGTAAGCAATGTAGAGGACACCATGAGTGGTAAAGAGTAGCATGGCAATGTGTCCAAGCCATATATGGTACTTGATGCTAGCCTCTGAAGTGAGGCCAAATAGAGGTAACACCGAAGATCCACGAGTCACAGGGAAGAAGAGAAATACAAGACAAACATTTCCAACAATGCCCAGAGTCAGAGCTACTCTCCCCAACTTAGCTTCCCACCTGCACAAACCAATTTCAATTTTGTACCATGATAGATAGATAGATATATATATACAATATCATATTCCACAAACAAAAGACATAATTTTTTTGGGTATTTTTTCTTACAATTTATCTCACCTTGAGAATTTTGAATCGCCAATTCGAGCAAAGAAGAAATGCAAATAATTTGCAAAAATCCAAAGCAAGAGTGCAATGAACATGACAAAGAAGGCCAGTTCTATCCCAGAAACAATTCCTGGGCCTTTGATAATCATAGGCCGCTTCCACGACGCCAAACGACGTCTTAAGTTGTTGCTGTTAAATAGGAAACATAAAAAGAAATCAAATTTTTAAGTACACAAACTTGTGATAAAAACTTTGATTGATTAATTGGAGACAATTATCACAAACAATTCATAATTGGTACCTTTTGATGGTATTGTCATGACCAACTTTATTTCCCAAATGGAGATACACCGAGCCCAAAATAGCCATGAATAGAATGGGAAATGTGTAAAGAAGAAAATTGTAACCTGTCGTATGCACAAATCGTATACAAATAATGTATAGATATAGATATAGATATAAATATAATTAAAATTTAGTACCACCATATGCAAATATGAAGGAAGCTAGCTACCAAAACCCTGTGAAAAGGAAGTGAACTAGTATGAAATAATTCAAACCTTGCGATCCAAAGTAAGTAGAATTGGAGTTTGCTTGAATTTTGGGGGACCAATTCTGTCTGAATATGTGGGTTGGCACCATAACCCAAAGAAAAAGATAAGCAATAAAGATAAGCATTATAAGTGCCATTATAGCTGCACCAATTGCTTTGGTTTTGGTTTCTCCATGAGTAGGACCTGATCTCTTCTCCTCCTCCATTGAAACCATCTCTCTCTCTCTATGTCGCTCTCTTTCTCTCTCTAAAATGGGCAGAATATGGTGGAAGGGAATCTGTTGTTACAGGTGTATATAAATTGCTATTATTATGTGTAATGTATATACTAATATCAGTTTCTTGACGTGTGATTACGTGTCAATTCTCTAATGGCCATAAGCAAGTTGACAAGAATCATATAGCATCATCATTGACGTCATCATTGTAACTCTGCTGGAAGGTTACGTGCTCCCAATTATTATTAATTATTAGATGGTCTTGAACTATTGATACTTTAAATACAGGTTATGGAATTGAGAAAATAACTCCACAATTGTGTATTACTAACATATTACAAAATGTAAATTTTATTCCGAGTCTCAAATGGACCAAAACTATTTAATAATTTCTCAATGACTACATGTTTTGCACCCGTTATAACTTAATGCAAAAACATATGTGTTAGTTTTATTTATTTTTATTTATTTGATATTGGTATGTAATGCCTGACCATATAGACTTTTCTCCTACTAAGTAGGAGCATGGAAAATATTAAGTGAGTAGAGCATATCACATATACATGGAGAGAGGAATATATGGGATGAGTCAGAGATAGAGATACCATATTAGTGGTATTGCCTACTCGATCAAAATACATCAAGTTATTTAATTTTTTTTTTAATAGTCGGACTAATTTCATTAAATAATGTATTTTTATAGTTAGAATGATTTCATTAAATAGTGTTTTTTTTTTTTTTTTTAATATATAGTCGGACTAATTTCATTAAATAGTGTAATTTCATTTTCAGTTCACTCAAATATCTTCTCATGAAGTTGATAGTGGATGAGCATGACAATTCACGTCATTGATGTATTGGAGCAATATTTTTTATTTATTCATTGAATATGAACTTTTTCTTAACAAAATTTCAAACAGAGCGTAAAATGATATTATTTCTAACATAACACTCGTTCTTCTTTTTAAAAAGTAAATTTCAACTAATATCTACTAGTATTAATCTTTCGTTTTTCTCCTTTTTTTAACCTTCACAAAATATTTTAAATTATACATGTATTCTAAGTAGGGATGTCAATTTTTACCGCCCCACCGGGACCCCGCTCCGTTAATAACGAATATGAGAACACTTTTTATACCATTGGAAAGGACATAGATACAAATTTTGTACCCGTCGCGGGTCACGGAGTGTATACATATCCTAGGGGCCCACCCCGCCCCGCCCCACTAAACATATAACTATATTTAATATATATATATATAATATTAATAACTTATTTTAGCGGTTTACCCAGTTCTCTATCTCTTACAATCCTAATTTGGGATATAAACTCGGGATTAAATTTGCTTTTGTTTTGGTTATGATAGAAATTGGAGCTTAGAACTTCTTGTGATTTGATTGTATTAAATTTTTATTTTTGTTTATTATGTTATCTGAATTATGTTATATGCATGTTATTTATTTATTTATTTTGTTGGAATACATAATTTCATTTATGTTGTGCCATTCCCAAGCTTTCCACATTTAAATAGCAGGAGCTTTTGCAGAGTAGTGTTTAATATCACGGCAATTAAACCTGTGTTTTGTGCATACCTAGGTAGACTCCAGGGGCTTAATTAAGGTTAAAACAAGTCATTTGTGCATGTTTTAACTATATGTAATTTTGTTGAATTAAACTGGATTACAAGTTCTTACCGTTATGTTAACTGATGTATTCTTTGTTTGAGTTTAAGCTCATTTTAATTTTTGTCGTCGTTGATGCATGTTGATACTTTATATGTACTCTGGGACATTGATTTAATATTAGAACATCTATTAAAAGATTTACAAATGCCTGGGTAAACTGAAATTACTCTGTTGAAAAGTTCCAAAAAGTGGGAGAAAAAAATTTGTTAGCGGGGCAGGCACGGGGGCACAGTATTTCCCAACAGGGCGGGGCTGGACATGAAAATCCAACTCGTCGCGAGTCTCAGAGCGGGCATAAACTTGACAAAAATTAAAAGGGGCAGGGCATGATTTAAGGAAACTCGCTCCAAATCCGCCCCGTTGCCATTCATAATTCTAAGTATTACTATTTTAATCAGAAAATTTTGACTCATTAATGATTAAGAAAAGAAATTGAGTGGTACATACATCAGTGTCGTCATGTCTTCACATTTATATTTTTATGTTTGTCTTTCAATTGTCCCTTGTATTAATTTATTGTCAAATAAAAAATAAAGAATTAAATATAGAATAATATTGTCGCTATGTTGTTTCAAAAATAGCGGTGACATACAAGCGGATTTTCACATTGACGTCATAGTATCTTGCCGTTTGAATAAACCGCTTTAAGGGCCTGTTTGGGGCATGCTCCATCTTGTTCTATGCCCTTCCCTACAGTGCAAATGGACACTATTAAGGACACCAACTTGTTTGGTATGGGCTGTATTGTGTCCAACAGTGCTAGAACAATTTCAGTTTTTGGGCTAATTTTCGGAACAAAAAAATCATGTTCCAAAGTGTTCCCAAATTATGGTCGGCCCACTATTCACTGTAGAATGGAGAACAACAGCCCAAAAACAAGGAATCCACAGAACACAATGTAAAGAATCGGTCCATCTTGTTCTAGGGTTCTCTCTACACAACTGAGGCGATTCACAGTGTACCCTTTTGTGTCTGAAGCTTTCTAAGATCTAGGGTTGAAATCGACACCATTGATGTAAATACGAAGCTTCTCGGCAACGTCTTCTTCTCACCGGTGAGTTCCAAACATGCATCTTCTTCATAAATGGAGTCATTCTGTTCTGTCTAAATTTAGTCACATGTATAATGAAGATCCTTGTTCTCGGTGTTCCACTGTGTATGCAGATCTGAAGATAAACTTCCCCTTTATGACCTCTGCGTTTTCCGGCGAACCAAGCTTTGCCGCTGCTCTCTGCACTCTCGGATTCACAGGCGATTCTCGGTCTATTTACTTTCATCGTCGACACCAAGTGAGTTAATTATGAAGACCTTGTTGCCTGATTTGTTGAGGAATGCTCTCTTGTATCTCTATTTATGGTGTACTGTGGCTTCGCCGGACCATCAAACTGCCAAGCCTCTTGTATCAAGCTTCTAACTTGCTTTGATTTTGTAATTTGTCTGTCAATTAAAATGTTCAGTAATGGGGATTTTGTGGTGGAATGTTCAAAAAATTCACAGTGGACTGAAGGAAAGGGTTTTGATTGCAACCCGGTGACACTGTTAGATCCTGTGTGCATTGTATACACACACACACACACACACATATATATATAATTAATTATATATAGGCATAGCCACTGTGTCCATATTTGAAATTTTTAATTTATTTTAATGGTTTTTATAATAAATTAAGATAAATGGAGGAACAATATGTTAAAATAATACAATCATTTTATCTAACTTTATACTTAATAAAGTTAGAAAAAATGTATTTTCTTAATGTATTGAAGAAAATATTATTTAAAAATATTTTTAATCCAACATATTTAATTATTTTATTTATCAAATTAATTTTGGTTACACTTTGGAACACCAAACATGTTTTGTTCTCATATTTCTTAGAACAATATAAATTACCAAACATGTTCTACCATGTTTTTGTTCCATGATTCGGTAGAGCAAACTTGGAACACCAAACATGTTCTGTTCTCATTTCAGAACATCACACTACAAAACACTTGTTCTGTTCTAGGCTAGAGTAGTACACTACATCACACTACACTTCCCAAATGGGGCCTAAGGGAGAAGATGAGAAATATACATACATGTGTGTATAACTGTATATATATCAGTGATTTTCTGAATTAATCCCAAGAACAAGTATTGTTTCTTTTTCTTTTCTTTTTTTCCTGTTTTTTTTTTTTTTTTTTTTTTCTCTTTTCTCAATACACGAGTTTTTATAAGTAATATAAATTAAGGAGTTTATTCGCACCTGAAATTGACACTATTGTTCTAAGTTTTAACCAAATACTAAGGATATTTATGTCATTTAATTTAGGAAAAAAAATTTGTGAGGCATTTGTTAAAAAGTAGTGCGAGTAGTGGGACCGACTATATAAATGCACTTCCATTCTATTAGCTTTTTCAAAATGCAGCAATTTTACTAATTATGTATATGATAATATATATATATATATATATATATACACACATACATACATACATATACACATACATACATATATTTACAATCAAATGTAGCTTTTGGTAGGGCAGCAAGTTGGGCTGACTCAACCTAACCCAATCCCAATCCAACCCAACCTCAATCCAAATTAGGTTGGGTTGGGCCAGCTCGAATTGTACCCAATTCGGGTTGAGGTTGGGCCAGCTCGAATTGTACCCAATATGGGTTGTGGTTATAATCCAGACCGAATATTTTCGGACAGGTTGGGTCGGGTTGAGTTTTTTTTATATATAATTTTTTTTTTCAAAAATTTATATATATTATATATTATATATATTTGATTATATTATTATTAAAAATATATATATTTTTAGGACAAATCATTTCAGCTTCCCCAATCGCCTCAATCTCTATTCTCGTTCTCAACTCTTAAATTGCGCCCCCCCCCCCCCCCCCCTCTCTTTCTGTGCAACTGCAAACTACAAAATCAACAAGAATCAGAAGTTCAAAACCCATATATTTCAGTTTATCTATCTATCTGCAAGAATCAAAAGTTGAAAACCTATTACCTATATCAAAACCCCATATCGGCATATCATTTCAGATTGTTCAAAAAATCAAAGCCCGTATCTTTAAATTTCCATTGCCCGCTGTTCCAATTCGGGTTCACCGTTCGTAAGCTTCAACCGCTGTCTCTCAACTCTCAAGCTTGCCCCCATCTCTCTCTCTGCAACTGCTAACTTATATGTATGGGTTTTGTTTTAATTTTTGGAAGTGATGGCAGCGGCGGCAAAGGCGGAAGGCCGGGGGCGGCGGTCGATCAGCGGCTGAGGGAGAGGGACGACAACGGCGGTAGAGAGAGAAAGAGAAAGAAGAAAGAGGAGAGAGAAAGGAGAAAAAAAAATAATTTTTTTTTTATATTTTATTTTGGGTTTTGGGTTAGATTCAGGTTGAGCCC